ATATGAAACTTTTTTGTATAACTTTACGATTGATTATTTGTCATGGGCATCTGGGTACTTTGTGACTGTAATTATTGTAACGTTTATAATGAATACTAGTCGATTAATAAGCTTGTTGATTCAAAAATCACGTCTAACAAATTTCATCCCCGCCATCCCTCTAACTGCTCATGATCATGACTGATATAAATTAGAGAAAAAGTAATTTTACTATGACGAGGTTATATACTTTAGGCCGATTCGGCCTTTAAATATCAGTGATGATAATGATATATTTATAATTTTACTATTCAATTTACATGTGACTTTAAGGGCTAAAGTGACCAAGGTAATAATAAAATAAAGCGAAAATGTTTTCTAATGTATTCGGTAGGCTTAGGTATATCAGAATTGTATATAAGCGCGTGTTTTAAACTTGCCTAACAATTAACTTAATATTAATTCTGTGACAATATGTTAAATTGGCAATTAATTAATGTATTAACTAGATATCAATAATATTTAATATAATTTCATTTTTGTTTATCTATTTATTTAATTATTAGTTAGTAGTAAACACAACAGACACATGCTATAAAACAAACATGTTTAAGTTGTTTGTGTGTTAAATGTGCTTGAGATGTGCTTTGATAGGCTCATTTATGTCACAATAATAGTGCGGTTTCAGTGCTATTGTAAAATTATCTCGAGTGTATATTCCCATTACCTAGGTAATTGTCAATATTTAATAAAACTATAAATACCAAAAGGTTTATATAAAGATTTATTTGGAATATTTATTTTATTAATAATTTAATATTTTTTAATAAGTTATTATTAAAACTTATTTATAATGAGTTGTTTAATAGTTTTAATGTTTGTTTGTTTTATTAGTGCCTTAAATATTGGCAATTCTTATGGTAATTGCAATGAATTATTAATGCAATATTAATTAAACTATGCTAATTGAATTGTTATAGAGTTTGGTCATGTTGGAAATCTCAGCCCTAATGGTCTACCAAAAACTGGAGAAAAATTTGGTAAGTTTAAATTACCTACAACTTATTCCAATAAAATACATTGATTGTTTACTATATAGTTGTATAACAACTAATTAATTACAGCCATTACACCGTACATCACTACAAACATGACTGTATGGAAATCAATGAAATGCACAGGGTCCAAGGTGCAATTTGTACAGTTGAGAAACTTGACATTTTCCACCGAGGTCACTTGCAATGGTTACCACTCGTGGGAGACCAGCTTTGCCTACGATATCTTGGTAGACGGAAAACTTGAAAAACTACCCATCACCAAATTGGCTGTTTATTTCTCCTATTTAAACGGTATGAAAACATAAGATAATTTTTTATTAGATTATCTCTTATTAGATAATTTATATTTATTATAGTAATATAACTAAATTTAAAAAAATAGAAAGTTACAGTTTAAACTAAATTATAAATATACAATTTATATTTTCATAAAGCACTTTGTAAGTTTATTTCAAACTTTTATTATTAGACAAAATGTCTTATTTTTGTTTTTTAACCCTACTACATTTTAGGTGATATGTACGAAGTAAATACCGGTACAGTGACAGAGGGCCGGTGTGCGGGTGATGTGTTTTTCTCGGCCAACGCTTATGTGGCCAACGATCAGGACGGGTGCGCCGGTACTAAAGGCGCCGCCGCTTTTACCATACGTTACATTGAGGGCCGTCTGACTGGACCCAAGTGCGGCGCCATCTGTACTCTGGACACCGGTCTCATTACACTTAACCCACCCGTCCGTAATAATTGAACAATTATTTAGAAACAAATACTGTTTTGTTACACATGTAATCATTTCTATTTTATTTTGTAATTTGTAAATTAAGTAATAAAATTGTCAATATGAAAACAAAAATTAATTTGTTTTAATTGGTTGCCCATTATTATATTTATGCTACATTTTTGGCAACAAATAATGCATAAAATTAAAATATCATTCTGTTTATTTTAATTTCATAAAATGTTGTGTCAACTGTATTTTAAAATTTAAATATTTAATTGATTTAGTAAATGAGTACCGTAATTTACTTACGGCATGTGTCAATACTGAAGTTATTTTATAATAATGAGCCAAGTTTAATATAAAATTTCTAAATTATTATTAAAACAATATTAATAAAAAAAAACTATTAAAATCATATTTATATATTTTATCAATGTTATACTGTATTAGATGTATCAATTAAAACTCTCAAATCTAAATGTGCTTAATCAGTATAAATAATTATTAATAAGATTTTACACAATTGAAAGTTTTATTGATTGCAATTATTGTCACTACTTATATGTCAGAGGTTATCTTGTTTATTTTTAATAGTTTTCTAATTATCTCAAGTATCTAGTAACTAGATTCTAGTTATATTACCACGGTAATTGTCAATTCATAAAATATAAATAAGTAAATCACATAATAAATATATTGTTAATTTAATGAAATACAAAACTAATATTGTTTTTAACATTTAATGGTTAAGAATGAACTATGCAATTTTATTGTATGTTTATTCAATAGTTGCTATAAATATAGCATATTCATTTGGTAATTATAAATAAATAATACAATAAACTTACAAATAAAATCATTCAAATGTAAGCATTGCGGCTTACAATGAATGAACGGTAGGCCAAGTATTAACAAAAACGATAATTTATTGATTAATATTGGTTCGGGTTTAACGGGAAAACGGGTTTAAGAAGTGAGAGACGCTTCGATGG